GTTTCTCAAATATATATATATATATATAACATGTACGTATAACAGTGGGCTTTTTAAAAAATAAGATTAATAAAATTAAAGTCGAATTATCAGGTCTATTTTAAAAAAATTTATAAAATTATGCTTTACACGGTATTATGTAAATAATAAATATTTAACGTCCAATTAACCATTTAATATTTTTAGTGAACCCTCTCCATAGATTGTTCTCATCATTCTTATTTTTCTTTTCTTCATCTTCATTCAACCATTCATCAAATCTCATTCCATCATTAATCATATTTATACCTTTAGTATCTTCTCTTTTAACATTATTATACATTCTCTTATATTCATCATCCAAATTTAGATAACACTTTCGAACTGCATATGGTGCAATAACATTATATGATCGCAATTTACTGTTCAATTTCCCAATAGCTTTCTCATAAAAAGAATATTGCATTTTTTCCCATCCTGTGTTTCGAAGTTGCAGAGAGATTTTGTGAGAATTGGCATAACGTATCCAATTTTCTAACATTCTTCGTCGGAACAATGATATTTCTCGCTCAACATCTTTTTGACTTTCTATCCATGCTGGTGCAGCACCTTGCCTCTGAACAAGTCTGTTCCTATAAATGTAATTGAGTTTTTTAAAGTTAATAAAGAATCTCTTTTTACAAAGACAAATTTTTGACATATACAAAGTTTAAATAATTCAACCATTTTTTTTTAACCTACATCAAGAATTCAGTTCGATCCAGATATGGGTTCTACATTCAACAATAATAGTGACAATTAGAATTGATGTATAAATAATAAAATTAATCACAATATTACCAATATAAACAATTGAATTATAGCTACAGTTTCGTTCTCATCCATGGGTAATGGTTTTCCGTGATACTGCAAATTCTTAAATTTACCCGCTGAAATCGCTTCTTGAATACGTTGTTCAACAATTGAATTCCAAGCCGCAATACTTTTTGGTAATATATCTTTTTTTTGTTCATTATTATCACCATATTTTTTACCGATTGCATAGTCAGTTGCAGCTTCTCGCGCATTTATTATGCGAGATTGATTTCTTTCTCGCACTTTCTCGAGTTTTTCCTTCTTTTTTTGTAACTTATTATCAGATGAATCCACATTGCCTTTTGATTTTAGTGTAGAAACGTTTATTATTGAATGATTACTTAAAGAATTGGGTAAATTAGTCAAGTTATTATGTTGAGATTTGTGACTATGTGCATCAATATAATCTTTAACAGATTCCCGTTTGACTTTCAATGGAGGATATTTGTCAACGATCATACGTAAAACTGTATCTTTTAAATCTTCTTCTCCAGTCCATGGGATTTCATTTTCTTTAACAAATGAATTTTTTATTATAGTATTTATCGATGCTGGCTTTCTAGAATTTTCATCTTTTTTTACGGTTCGATCCTCCTCAAAATTCAATATTATCTTGGTTGATGATGTAATATTTTGTGAATTAAGTGTAGTAGTTAAATTTGTTGATGAATCGGGAGTAGTCACCGAGGTTATTTGTGAATTCGAAGTGTTGGTATTCGTATTTTTCGGGCTTTGTAAGATGGTTGAAACTTTTAAACAGTGATATGATGCAGTGAAAGTTTTTGTCTTTAAGGCGAGAATTAATCTTGTCGATGGATGATAAAAAGAATGTGTTATAGAAATGCCATTTAATGTGTTTAAGGAATTAAAGGAGAGTGTCATTATCAGATATTTGATTGTTATCTTCGAAGTTGATCATTTTATAGTAAATTATAAGGTCATACAATTTTTGGTAACCAAATTTTACTAGGTTTCAGTCACTGCGTATGAATTTGATAAATATTATACAGTCAGACCTCTCTAAGTGCACTCTCTATAAGTGCCTACCCTCTCTAAATACACACTCAGGTTCTTGCCCAAATACATACTTGACCTCTATAAATGCACTTTTTCTTATTATTCTCTAAATGCACGTTAAATTGTGGTCCCCAAAGGCGTGCACTTAGAGAGGTCTAACTGTATATCTAATAATAAATTTTATAAAAAAGCAGTTAATGCTGTAATGTTAGGGATTAAAATGTTAACCTTAGAATATTATGGATATACAGACATACAAACCTTTCTATAATGAATTATGATACGTATAACGAACTCGAAATTTTAAAATTTCACCATACCATAATTTTATAAGCTTTATATTTTATACATAATAGATTTATGTGCTTGAAGATAATACAGTTAGGGTTGTTCATGGAGTACTCCGGACTATAATAAAACATATAACCCGCTTCTGGAGTGCTCCGGAGTGAGTTATATGTTTTATTATTGACTGGAGCACTCCATTAACAACCCTAAATACAGTACTATATTGTAGTACTCTTTGTGGTTTATATAAACGGGTAGAAAGTGAATGAACAGATGATCGTGAAAATGAAATAAATTTGTAGAAACACTCGAGAGAACATTAATTTGCATTCCTACAGGTGATGAGGAGAGAATAATAATCAATAGTTTTAGAACTGGAAACTTTTTAATGCGAAGGGTAAGTTATACGATATTTTTAGAATTTTTCTTGCGATGGTCACAGATGTTGTAACGTTATAGTATTCCTATGGTGAGCCTATAATTAGTGAACGTGCTACGCCGTTATGAAATATTTCAACCGCGTAGTATAGCTAGTTATAAAGTTTACAATATTGGAATTCCGCTGTGACCATATTTTTTGCTGGCATTCTTGATACTTTAGATGAATGAATCAAAAACCATATGATTCTGCATAGTATGCTACGTATATAGTTTTGTTTACGTGTGAGCCGGTGTGGCAGCCCTGGCTGATTCTTTATTGATCTATCAGTTTTCATTATAATTATTGTCGTGGCTGAAGCTGGAAATGGCTGAAGCTGGAAATTTTAAATATTTTAATATGAAATTTACAAAAAA